CTAGGCCGAACTGCAACTTCTGAAGTAAAAGGTCAGCCCGAACCGTGGAAAATATGCAAATAAATTTTAATGCTGGGTGGGATCAGTTGATAGATTATGATGGGGGCGACGGGAAGGCTGCCAGCACTTCTAGCCGTTCCCTTCTTTAATATGACGGCGCGATTCATGCATGTCTATTGTTCTTCGAACTTCACAAGCATTGAGCTTTCTTTGGTAATTTTGTACTCAGTTACATGGAGGTAAGAAAAGATGAAATCAGTTCAGAGGTACAAAAAAGATGCGGAGCTAGGATCCAAAGCGAAGAACCAGAAGCTTCATCTCAAGCAGCTACCGGATAAGGAGAAGATCTGAGAAATCGCCCAGTGCCACTGAAAGCCGAAATCTACTGAGAGGAGAGCGATGCGGTGAATGCAAAGCTCTGAAGAATCAGAAAGTTTTGACATCTCCCCGCGTCCTGATGGTTCACAGCACACAACTGTACCATTTCAGCGCTCATGCCCACATGCCTAGCGGAAAAAAAGGAAGGAAACAAGCGGCTGATGTGGCAATAGTTACCAGAGCTCTGGCCACATGTTTGAAGGCGATTTGCATGGTCACTCGTTGCTCGCTGCCCGTATCCTCGATTGTCACAGTGATATTTTCGACGCTCACAACCGACGGCTTAAGCGCAACGCATTTCAGAGTACCAAAACAGACAAACTGCGATTTCACCTGAAACAGCAGCCAGAGTTGCCATACCACAGCCCGTGACACATAACAACGAGGGAAGCAACAATCGATCGCATTGCTGTGAACCGATGAACATCAGTTTGGAATGGCCCCCCCGCACGTCACACTTACTAGCTAGGCCCATTTGCGGTGCTGAGAATTGAATGTTCTTCTCAATGCGCACCATCCACTGCTCAGAAAGGCCTCGCTGTTTCCTGGGATTTAAATTTACGAAAAAAGCATGGATGCGAAAGGCATTCAAAACGTTGCGCTGCCATTCCAATTTCACGTTTTCCCCGTGCACTGCTCCGAATCAAACTTATCAAACACTCTCTTACATCACCATC